GGCTTCGTTGGGGTTTCTTACCCACTTCTCCATGTCTATGCTGGGATTTTGTCTGGTTTGAGCTTGCATGGGACTTGTGCATGCTGTCATCATTGCTGTGAGTTCACATGAGTAACTAATCAGATGTCTGGAAATCTCTGTTTCCTTATGGTCATCCACCACCTTTGACTCTTAAAATCTTTTTTAAAATCTGAATTACTGTAATATTTTGCTTTGTATATTGTTAAAACTGTAACTTTAATTGTAAAAAAAAATTTAAAAAAAAATAAAGAAACCTTTGCTTTAAAATAAATAAATAAATAAATAAATAAATAAATAAATAAATAAAAAAGAGGCAGGGCTTCTCACTGATGAAAAGATGTGGAGCACAGTTGGGGTTTCGTCTATTTGTTTTTGAGATGGTCTCACTATGTACCCCTGGGCTGGCTTGGAACTATGTAGACCAGGCTTGCCTTGAACTCACAGAGCTTCACCTGCCTTTGTCTCTCAAGGGGCAAATCATAGAGATCTGCCTATCTCTGCCTCCCAAGTGCTAGGACCAAAGGTGTGTACCATCATGCTTGAGCTCTTTTTTTTTAAAGACAGGATCTGGTTATATAGACCAGGCTGGCCTTGAACTCATGATCTTCCTATTTCAGCCTCTCTGACTGCTGGAATTACAGGTGGTAACCACACCTGGCAGCAGAACACTTTTTAAAAAACTATTTTATTTATTATTTTTATTTTATGTGTATGAGTATATTGCTTGCGTGTATATAAGTGCACCCATGTTGTACAATGCCCACGGAGGTCAGAGGGGGTGTCAAATCCCTTGGAACTGGAGTTATGGGTGGTTGTTAGCTGCCATGTGGTACTGGGATTCAAACCTGGGTCCTCTGTAAGAGCAGCAAATGCTCTTAACCACTGAGCCATCCTTCCAGTCTCCAGAACATTTTTTTTTTTTGGTCTTTTTGAGACAGTGCATCCCTGTAGTGTGGCTGGCTTGGAACGTACTATGTAGACCAAGCTGGCCTTGAACTCACAGAGCTCCACATGCCTTTGCCCCTCAAGGGCTGGGACTAAAGGCGTGTGCGACCATACCTGGCCCCAGAACACTTTTTTAAGAGCATAAATTATTTTATTTTATTATATGTATTTTTTTTTTGAGATAGGTCTCACTGGCTGGTCTGAACTAACTACGTTGACCAGGCTAGGCTCGAACTCACAGAGATCTGCCTGCTTCTGCCTCTTGAATGCTAGGATTAAAGATGTATGCCACCACAACTAGCTCAAGGAGAGCATTTAAAAAAAAAAAAAAATCGACCTTCCTTTCCTCCCTCCCTCCTTCCCTTGACAGGATCTCACTAAGGCTGGCCTGGAATTCGCAATATAGGCCAGGCTAGCCTCCAGCTCACAAAGACCAACCTGTTCTGCCTCCCAAGAGCAGGGATTAAAGGCATGTGCTACCTTGCTAGGCACAGCAGATTACTGATACAGAGAACAGGAGTGCCTCTTTTGCCTAAGGTTGGGAAGCAGAGGGACACCTGGCTTCCCAGAGATCTTCTGAACAGAGTGGGACACAACTGCACAGGATAACTGTGTAGGTTTGGGAAGGGTCCTCATGAGAGCCAAGCATCAGCAGAGAGTCACTCTAAACAAAGAATATCTCATTCCTAACAGTCATGTGGGCAGGTGAGTTAATTCCTTGGTCTGTCCATGTCTGTACTTCAGCCACCAGGAGCACAGTCACGTCATGTCATGTGTACTTTGCTAAGGGGAAGGAACAGGAAGGAAATAGGAGGTTGGAAACGGTCTCACTATGTAACTTAGGCTGGTTTGCAACTTATGATCTTCCTGCCTCAGCCTCCAGAATATTGAGCTTACAAGGTTGAGTGAAAGCCCAACTAAAGAAAGATGCTTTGAAAATGATGCAGTAAAGATTTCCTCAGTGTTAAGCATATAATGAAAAGCACAGAAAAGTATTAAGAGAAAAAAACACACCAGTCACTGAAAGCCAACTCTCCTTAATTTTTCTCTTCATTTTCTTTTCTATACACAGTTACGAATACACAATATATAACAATAACATATAATTAATGTAAAAGTGCTATGAACTATATCCAACAGTCATCATACCTTGCCAGAATCCCGTATCATTTTCACATTTTCAGAACCAAATTTATCTGAGTAAAGTTTAAGGAGTCTCTGAGAAATTTCTGACAGAGGTGTGAGTTTGGGTTCTTTGTAAATATACTCTTTTCCATCTTCATCTTCAAAGAATCCCTGTGAGGAAAAACACAATTAATGCTGTCCTGGAGCATTCCCCCCAAGGCTGCATACCCAGGAAGGTTCTTTTATAAGGGTGAAAAATAGTAACAATAACAAAAAAAAAAGCAATGGAAAAACAACAACAAGAAGATGACATCTAAGGAATGATTCAAAATAAAATCCTATTTAAACAGGCTGTCCAAAACAGTAGTAACAGAGTCTGGGTGCAAAGGTAAAAGGAAAACACAAAATTGCAAACTTATTCTAGAATGCTGTCATTAAGTGTTGGTGAAATGAAAGATCTGGGGTTTGAGGTTGTGTTGTTCCAGTGATGTCTACTGGGAGTCAAGCCTGTTTCACATTCCCAGGATGCAGATCTCACTGAAAATTGACCTGCAGCCCATGATGTCAGTGATGGGCCATGGACGAACATACATATCCCTGCCTCAGACCTCTCCCTCCACACAGAACTTTAAAAGACCTGAAACGTTCAGGTCTGGTGGAGGTGAAGCAGAAAGCATATAAAGTTTGAGGGACTTTGATTTTGCCGAATTCAATTTTTTGTTCTCATGAGAAAAACAATATTAAAGGTCTGTGGCATAATATCAGAAAATGCTTTCAAGATCACCAGGCACTATGTAGCACCAATCACGTTTAGTCACAGGTTTGGAATTGTTTGGGAAGTGAAAAAGGTTGAAAATTTGAAAGTCCACATTGGGGTTAATATTGGAAATGAAATTTTAAAAGTTTCTTATCTAAAATAGAGAAAATGGTACAAACCCCAAAATACATGTAAAAATAAAAAGCAGGCTAACATGAAACAAACAAAATCCACATCAAACCAGTTTAGAAGCAGTCATTTTGCTACATTACTTGCTTTTGAAGCATTTATTGTAATTACCTCCACATCTGTTTCACTGTCTGTAAACTGGTATTGCTATAAAGTTATAAAAGACAATAAACAGAATAAAGTGAAGGTTATAAAATGCTCATAGAAAAATCACACATTCTAAATAAATGGATGATATTTTATTCCATTAAATAATGTTAGAGCTTGGAGGTTAAAACTTAAGTTTAAATAAACCCCCTCAGATTGGGTTGCTCAAGTATTACAATGGTAAATATACTTGTGGAGATATTATAGAAAAGACCAAGATACACAGGCACAAGGGAAACCAGGAGGTCTTAATTTTGGTTTAAAACATGCAATGTAGATGTAGAAGGAAACAGATGATTTCTGTAAATGGAATAAAATGTTAATTTTCTTACTGGAGTTTGAAATGACTAGACAATAAACAGACTTGAAAAGGAAACTTGGCAAACCACACTCAAGTACCAAGGATGTTGCTAAGAACATCTTATGGAGGAAGAACTTACCGCTGCCTTAAGAAAGTAACAAAGGAAAGACAGGAAAAAAGGGGAAAAAAGCAGAAAGTTTACTACAGCAGAAGATAAGAACCAAGGTACACAAGACAAATTCATCAAAGTAGCATTTATAGAATGGAAAATTTGTAAGACATCACTTTGAAGTAAAAGACTTGGGACAGTCTACAGAACGGAGGGGAAGCTCACCTGTCCGAAGAAGGCCACCCTGAAGTAGGTCCCTAGAAGCCTGCGGCCTGAGTGCATGACCTCAGTTACTTTGCTGTAGGCTCGGTGCAGTGTGTCATACAGATGGGCTAGCCTCTGGAAAGTAGAACAGAACCCATTTCTTCCACTTGCAAGTAGAAAAATACATTTACAAATAAGAAACATGATAATTTAGCTGAAAATACCTTGAACTTGAGTTAAAAAAAGAAAAATCAGTATGTGTTCGAGTGTGTGCGGGTTCATGTGTATGAGCACAAGTAGAGGCCTGAGGACAGTCTTGGGCATTGTTCCTCAGGGTCTGTCCACTTTTTCTTAAGACAGTGTCTCTTACTGGCCTGGAACTTGCTGAGTAGGTTAGGCTGGCTGACCAGAGAGCCCAAGGAATTCTCCTGTTTATGCCTCACCAGCACCGACATTATAGCCTGCACCACGATGCTTGGCTTTTTTATGTGGGCTCTGGGGATCAAACTTTGGTCCTAGGACTTGGAAGGGAATCACTTTGCTGACTGATCTATTTCCTCAGCCCCAAGAATATATTTTGATTGTGTAGTAACCCTGATAATTTATCTATTCTAGATTTCCTGTCCAAACCTGCTATGAGCACCCACCATAGCAAGCAAATTCTATTTTCAAGGTGCCACGAGACAGCAGAGAAGGTTCTTCCATGCTGTTTTAGGCTATGCTTTCCATACTCCATTTGTTGGGGCAGTGGTTGACTCCCGAGTCCCAGAAGAAGGAAAGGTGGCCATTTTCCCATACAGGTGAAGCAAGGAAGAGCTCTGAGAAAGAGGGCCCCTGGTGATTACAAAACTGTGGTAAATTTTCAAAAGCGGAGTGCTAGGTGGGAACTTTAAAAAAATTATTATTTTTATTTAATGTGTGTCAGTGTATTGCCTGCATGTATGTAAGTGCACTGGTGTCATGCAATTGCCTATGGAGGTCAGAAGAGGGCATCAGATCCCCTGGAACTGGAGTTATGTATGGTTGTTAGCTGCCATGTGGGTGCTGAACAGAACCCAGGTGCTCTGCAAGAACAGCCAGTGTTCTTAATTGCTGAGCTCTCCAATCCCTGGTGTAGGAATTCTTGTAGTTCAAGACATGGTGGTGTTTGTCTAGGTGATGCCCAGATATGTGTAAAAGTTTGATAAGTCTTTATAGGTGGTGACTAGTGAACACCTTTGGTGTAATGTGGAGAATTAAAGAACACTTGGGCATCACTGAACCAAGGCCTGCTGGATTTCTTTGCATATGAGGTCTAGCACACAGCATCTCACTGTTCTTTCAAACAGGGCATAAAAACAAACAAACAAAAAAGGGAGATACCTCAAAATCCCTCCGCTTTTCATAGATGGGGATGATGAGTTTGTAGATGTCAGCGATCAGCTCGTAGCGTTCTGCCTTCCAAAGCCCATCTGCACATTGCTCCAGCAGCTCCATCAGCACATCCTGATCAAAGAGGAAGGCCAGGGCAAGAGAAGAGCATTATGGGGAGAGTGATACTGCACTCGCTGTAGAAGGTGCTACCTGGAGGCTGCTTGGGGTGGAATTTCAAAATGCACATTATTTAAAAACACTGATTCCATGACTGTAACAACTCAGTACCATGTTTTTCAAGGGGCTGTTTTCTCCCCAAATCATGCTTATATGCAAAGATTAAGGAGTCACGCTACACGATGGTATAATATTAATTTCCCTGGAAATCTGACACTGACATCTTCATACAAGCTCTCTACTCCTGTTATTATTTCTCTTCTTAGAGAAATAATTTAGGAATTTCTTTTTCCTTTCCAATGAACACTGATAACGTAGAGGTATGGAGAGTTACCAAGCATGACCTCAAGTCCAGTGAAAACATCCTGAAGTTAGTGATGAAGTGTGGTGGGTCCTGAGCCTGCTTTACCAACATCCTCTTCTCCTTCCCTTGGCGATTTCTTTCTATAGAAATTTGCACAGTCACTCACCTTTCCTTAGAGCTCTTGCACTTTGGAAAAAGTAACACTATCCATGGCTCAGGAATTAGAGCAAGTGGCTTGAATTTACACTAATGAGCATGAACATTTTCTTGGCCACAACCATTGGTACACCATGGTGACATGATGGTTGAGTTTGGGGTTGCCAGCTTGGAATGTTGGGACAGAAATGTTCCTACTAGTCAGGACACAAGAGAGGCAGCATGGAGCTGACTAGGGCTAGCATTCGTCTCATGGCCATGGAAGGGGAGTGAAGAAATGGCCTCTACCCCAGCCAAGCATCTGTATCACTGATAACTCTGTTAAAGGTTTGGATTCAACAAGATTAGCATATTTGCCTCTTCTATAATACTCTAAATGAAAGGCAATTCCTGTGTGTGTGTGTGTGTGTGTGTGTGTGCGTGTGTGTGTGTGTGAAGCCGAGTCTCATGTATCACAAGCTGGCCTCACCCTGTTTAACGCAGTGCTGAGACATGAACACAGATCTTCATTCATGTCAGACAAACACTTTACCAATGGAACCACATCCCCAGCCCATGTATTTTTCATTTTTAATCTAATGTTTCATCATAGGCCCAATGCCTATGGTTAATAGTGTCAAGGAAAATAATAGTTTCAAGCAGTTATGATTCAGTTTTCCAGATGATACTATCTAGGCAAGACCATTTAACTCCTATGTCATATTTATGATACACACATACCATAAAAATGTCATTTGTGAGACTGAACTCTGCACCAGTGCTTATAAAAAGACAGGACAGTTGTCTCAGGCTTCATTGTAGGTCTCACTAAAGCCGGATGTATTCAGTAACCACCGTAATAACTACAAAGAACTCAGAGAACGTTCCAGAGCTATCCCATCTCCCATGCATTTATACTATGTAGACACCTGTGTTCCTTATATTTCAAGTCTTTTCTAATGGATGATCTAGCGTGCTAAGCATGACAAATATGTCATGTTTCTCTGTTTATATAAAGCTAAAAGAATAAAAATAAAGCTTGCATAATTATAGTGTCATATATCCACCTTTGCATGCTTGTGAAATAAATGGAATGCCTTTTAGGGCTCTTCCTCATTGGTGTTTGTGAGGATCAATAAAAACCTGCCCCTAGAAAGCAGTGGGAACTGTAAACTCTGTATATTAATTCTGAGGCCAGTTAAATGACTTCTCTCACTTCAATAATCACTTTCTACTTTATATTAATTTTGTTTAAAAAATCTTATTTCTACTGGGATACATGTGATCCCACAGAACCACATACATAGTCAGTAGTCAAGTATTTTTTGACCAATAAATCAGTTTGCATTTTTCTCAATAATATTAGCAACATCATCAGGCAATAGCAACTGTCCTTTCTGTGGGAGATGGGTTGTTAGGATTTATCGAAGCCTTGTATTTCTCAAAAATCTTAGGTCAGGCTCGTTACCAATGGGCATTCCTCAAGTATTTGCAACCTCAGTGCTGCTGTAGAACTGCAGCAGCAGCAGAAGGAAGTCAAAAAAAACCCAATTCCCCAAGGAGATGACAATATCATACAGTCAATGCTTTCTTCTGATAATGAAATAACCAACAGCATGGAACTTTGCTATTTTGAAGCTACTCTAAGGTATGACTTTCAGACTAATCATTTGGTCCCTTTCATTCCAGCTTCTGGGTTTCTTTACAGACAAATGTAAACGCTGTGGGAAAAGTATAGTTGGTTCCACTTCCCTGTGCACATAAATGTACAAATGATGGCACCTTATTTACTGTGGATCTGGAAAAGCAAAAAAGTTAGATGCTCTTAATCCCATGCCTTAGAAGCTGCAGTGTAATAAGAATCTGAAATCACTTTTGTTTGAGACAGGGTCTCACATTGTCCAATCCTTTAACTCCGTACCCTGCTCCCTCCACCTTCCAAGTGCTAGTAGAGTTAATGACCATGAGATTTCTACGCAGAGCAAAGCTTAGTCTCCACAAAGCTCCAGCAGGGCTTCCTCAGTCCTTTCTGCTGGATGCTGGCAGTACCTGATTTGATGGTGTTACTTTGCTTCCTCTCCCAGCTGGGCTACACCAATCTCTGCTGGATGCTGGTAAGAGCCAGATTTGATGCTGTTTTGCTATTGGCTACTTCTCTCTATCTCCTACCTGCTATTTGTTCTTTTACTTTTGTTGGCTACATACTTAATAAACTCACTTATTCAAAAGCAGAAGTAGAGCTATCATAGATCAATGTCTGGATGGAACTCTGAGGGTGTGCCTTTGAAGAGTATCTTGTCCCTAGTCCCTTGCTGTCTCTCTCTGATTCCTGACTGCCACTGGGTGAAAACTAAGTTTCACTATTCCCTTCTACCATGATTTCATTCTTTCTTTCTTTTTTGGTCTTACCTTAGCCCAGAAACAACAGAGACAATTGTTTCTTTCATGTATTTGTTAACAGTCACAAATGAATACACAGTCTGTTAGGCTGTGTAACGTAAATGAAATTTGCTTTGGACAGGGGGCCCATAAGGACACATGCAATCTGTCTCAGAACTGATGTACTATAGACTCAGAACCACCAACTGGAAGTGCTATGACATGCATGTTGAGATGTCAGAGATAGAAGAAAACACAGTAATTTAAAATATATCCCCCTTGCTAGAAGTCATAAGGGCAGATGTTCTGAGTTGAGAGCAGGCATGGCTGGTTTATTTATCATCATCAGTGGGTATTTGGGTGAGCTGGGGAGCCAACTATCCTCTCTCATTCAACACAGAGCTTTGTGCTCTCCCAGAGCTCAAAGTCTAGTGTGGAAGATGGAGCCATAAAGAGATTATGTAAGACAGTGGTAAGTGAACTGATAAAGAAGTTACAGGGAATCGGGAATGCAGAGAGGAGGAGTCTCCATCCAAGGATGAGGGAGCTGGGAGGTACAGAAAGCTGGAGAAAGTGAAAACCAACTGAGTCTTAACAGATGATCAGGAGTTTAATAAGGTGAAGGAGAAAGGTGGGAAAAGAAGTAAGAGGCCCGAGCAAAGGCAAGGGAACAAAGACAGCATAGTATGTGAAGAATAGGCAGTAGATCATGGGCTGGAGAAGAAAATCTGAATCAGTATCTAGACAGAAGGAAGGGAAAATGGGAAGGGTTAAACATATACTAAGCTGGCAAAAGAATTGGTAAATATATATATATTAGTAAAATAATTAGTAAATATGTAAATACATATCGTGATCATGACTGCAACAGTTATATCCTACCAAAAGGGGAGTGTGTGTGTGTGTGTGGAGAGAGAGAAAGAGAGGGTCTTCCTGTAGCCACAGCTAGCCTGGAACTCGCTCTGTAGACCAGGCTGACCTCAATCTCATAGAGATCCACCTGCCTCTGCCTCCTGAGTGCTGGGATGAAAGGTGTGTGCCACTATCTCTGGCCTAGATGTAGATAACTTTTTTAAAAAAGGTATCTTTAACATTTTTAAATTTATTTTTATTTTTGTGGATGTGCCTGCTTGTCTGTATGTATATGACATGCACACAGTACCCAAGGAGGTCAGAAGAGGATGTGGAATCTCTTGGAACTGGAGTTACAGATAGTTGTTAGCTGCTATGTAGGTGCTATGTAGCTGCTATGTAGGTGCTGAGAACTGAACCTGGGTCCTCTAAAAGAACAGCAAGTGCTCTTAACTTCTGAGCCATCTCTCCAGCCTCAAATGTAGATAATTTTACAAGCCATGAAAATATAACCATATATTAACCACCATAACAGACAATGAAATATTATATGAAGAAGGTAATAACTGACATTGAAATGGTGCTCTGTCTATCCACATAAGGTATTTGTGTACAGCAACCTTTTAGGTACATTACAAATAGCCCTAGATCTTGTCACTTTGTAAATGTATGTTAAGTAGAGCCTGTGCGTACTCTTCTGAGTCCAATGTTACTAATTGGTAGATTAAGATTTGAATAGTTTTTTTACTTTGGTTTAGTCAACTTAGAAACATGAGGAGGTTTAATAAAAATAGAGCCTGAATTTAAGTAGTATATGTATATTGACATATGTATTTAAGTATAATATGGTACAAATAGTTGAGTTCATTATGGAAAAATTTGTTATATTTGGCACAGAAAGATGGAATTCAACCAGGGAGATTCTCCAGAATGGTTAGAAAATGGAAACATTTAATAAAGCAAATAGAGATTGGTGGATATTATGAAAAACTACCACCAAAACAACTCTTGATTGCTATAATGAATTAAGAAATGACATGTTATTAATTTTTATACTCTGGTGAATATTTTTAATCTTCTTTTCTGATTCAGGAGGCATTCAAGAGCTGTAGTTTATCAATCCAAATTCATTTCTTATCTTAAAGAAACGGTAATGCATGCTATAGAAAGCAGAATTAGTAAAAAACTAAAAATGTTTTCTTTATTTTAAAAAACCCACCACCTGGGGCTGGAGAGATGGCTCAGCAATTAAGAACATGGGCTGTTCTTGCAGAAGACTTGGGTT